AATCTCTAATATTCAGAATTACCCAAGAGTTGAAGCAAAAAGCAGACAAAAATGAGGAAAAAATAGACAAATTCATGGAAAAGGTAGACAAATTCATAGAAAATACAGACAAAAATATGGAAGAATTCAAGAACATAATAAAGGAACAAAATGCCAAAATAAAGTCACAACTAGAAATCATACAAAAACAACAATCAGAAATCCAAAAGATAAACAAGATTTCAGAGATGAACAGTTTCATAGAAGGGCTGAGGAGCAGGTTTGAAATGATAGAAGACAGGATCAGCGAAATTGAAGACAAACACTTGGATACAACTCTGAGGAAACATGAGAAAAAAGAACGAAGAAAAATGAAGAAACCCTGAGAATTATGTGGGATACAATCAAAGGCAAAAATTTTTAAGTGAATGGAGTTCCAGAATTGGGAGAAAACAGAAAACACAGAGAGGATCACTGAAGAACTGCTGATAGAAAACTTCCCCAATATCATGAAAGATGAAAAGCTGGCCATCCAAGAAGCTCAATGAACCCTACATAGGATACACCCCAAAAGAAAATCACCAAGCCATATGATAACCACACTTGCTAAAACCAAAGAATAAGAATCCTGACAGCAGGTTGAGGAAAACAAAAAGTCACATACAGAGGAGAAACAATATGACTAAGCTCAGATTATTCAGCAGAAACCATGCAGGCAAGAAGGCAATGGGATGACATATATAAAACCTTGAAAGAAAATAATTGCCAGCCAAGAATAATATATCCTGCAAAACTCTCGTTCAAATATGATGGTGAAATTAGGACATTTCCAGGTTAACAGAAATTAAGGGATTATGTTAAAAACCAAACCAAATTTACAAGAATTATTAAAGAGAGTCCTTCGATATAAGAACAAACAACATCAGACCACAGGCTGAATCTAGGATGCAGAATCATACCAGCCAGATATCAACCTAGGAAATGAACTCTTAAGGACTACGCAAAACCAAAAGAAATACAACAGGGAACCAGAGAGGTTAATCTGTAAATGACAACAGCATCAGAACAATAAAAGAAGGAATAAATGGTGTAGGTATAGAACCTTCTAATGGAGAGGAAGGTGAGGTGATACCAAGTAATAATAGACTGGTTCAAACCTAGGAAGATAAGGGTAAATTTCAAGGTAACCACAAAGAAAGTTAATAAACCTACTCATCAAAATAAAGAAAACATAAAGTCTCAGTAAAAACAAAACCTACAAAAACAAAAGAATGAAAAAAAATCCACAAACAAAAGGAATTCAGCACAGGAGAGTAAGAGGAAGAAAGAAAACGTCACCACCACAAAAGAAAAGCACTACCAACTGACAGCAATAAACTCACACCTACTGATAATCACACTAAATGTAAATGGCTTAAATACACCCATAAATAGACAAAGTGACAGAATGGATATCCATCAGACTTCTCTACAATTCCAAAACAGGGAATAAGTAGCTAGAAGAGACTGCAGTAGCATGCTGTTATGTTTTCTAAGCACAATCATATTTATTTTTCATTCTTCCTCTCTATTAGCTTCACCTTAGTCTCTTCTAGTCTCTCATGATTACTATACTCTCATCATTTAGGCAAGATAGTTTTTACTGTGCTTTTATGCATCTTTTATTATATAATGAACCAGTATGGATAGGAAGATCAAAAGGAATACACCATTAAATTTTGGCACAGCAACCTGACTCATAAATCTATGAATCCAATAAATAAATATACACATTACAAATACAAAACATTACCGAAAATTTTCCCTTTTTTTTTGGGCCATAAAAACTGAGATTATTAAGGGAGTTAAGTTATGTGGATCACCATATGAAAACTAAAAGGAGCAACTGAATACTTTGGTCTTAACACTAAAATGGATAATTCATTTCACTTACCCTCTTTGATTTTGAGTCTTTACTTAGTATTGATTCATTATCTTCGTGGACTTCTAAAGAACTCTTCTTTGTACGAGAATGCATATTTCCTACAATAGGATACATTCAGAAATATTTTTTTCTGACTAGTGAGAAAAAGAAAAATCCTGATGTTTTCAGTGAAACTCTACCAACCTTGAATTATGGGGTACTACTAAAAGAGCTTACCCAATGGAGCAGTAGACAATGTCTATCTATATTGTACATGTCTTGAAAACTGAGTTAAGGCAAAAAGCTCAGAATTACCTGATATGCTTTAATAGAGCAAAATTCAATGTTGTAAATGTTTACATGGTCAGTATCCAAATATAGATAAAGTTAATATTAAATGTTAGAGAAGACTTCTATAAAATATAAATTACTTGACTTAAAAAAATTAACCTAGTCAATTAAATTCTTTGTACTTAAAGGGACATGTGATTTTTTAGTGTTTCAAATTACTCCAAATGTTAGACAGCTGAATAATGATCTTGAAAGTATATTTATGAAGCATATGCATCCTTTTAATTTTATATAATTAACCTGCTTGAAGCCTACATTTACTTTCTTTTAACATTTTAGGCTATATGCCAAAAATAATTATAGAGATGATAAATATTTTAATATTTTGCTTAAACTATTCTAAAAATTACTACTTTTTTTTCTGCAGAAGTGAGAAGGAAAAAAGTATTAAGGTCATCCTACCTTAGCCACTGAACCTGGCAGTCCTCACCAGAAATCTAAATTGGGATTTGAGGCAAAAGCCTGACTTAATAATACAGGTTGAACACGGGGACAAAAAAAGTGGTAAAAAGGCTCTCCTAAACTGCTTAATACTGACACATGAGCAGCCATGAGTAAGGTGAATATTTCTGTGTGAAGAAGCTATGATGGTTATAAATGAGAACAAATAAATCTGTCTTACATATTTCATAGCTTGTTATGATAAGGGTCATGTGCAATAAAAAGTATAAAATGGAATATATGTGGGTAAGCTATAATCACCCCATCACAGCATATACAGGTAGGTCTAGCCTTTTTAAAGGTATGCTTTTGGATGTCAAATGTGCTCACACCTTTTGGGTTTTCATTGTATTCATGAATTGCTCGTTCTTCTCCATTGGCTTTTTCTTCCTACAGACAATAAAGAAACAATATAACAAAAGAATATAGTTGTGCTGTGCTATAAAACTTAGATTTGTTTTTAAGCAAGGTTCCAAAGTCTGCCTCTAGCTAACCAGGTAAACATGTGACAATCATTTTTCTGAGTTCTTGTAAAATAAGGAGCTTAGATGTTGAGGGGTTGTTAATGTCCCTAACATAAATTATACGATTAAAATAAATTACCATATTTACGCAAATAACCTGCACCCTCTACAGCTGTTGGCCAACCATACTCCCCAAGGTATTTCTGTAAGTGCACTATGGCAATTTTTTTACAGCATCATTTAAGAAAAAATCGGCATAGCAGTGCTTGCCAAAATACTGGGGCGGGGGGAGGTGGCTGGCAAACAACCACAGAAGATGTGTGTTATTTGGGTAAAATATGGTATGTGATTCAAGAATTTAAAAATTCTACTCAAAGATCCAGGAACATTAATTGGTGTATAACTTGTCTCAATTTGTCAAATTTTACGGACCACCCTAGCCTGGGAGACCCTGGTGGCATAGTGGTTAACAGCTACAGCTGCTAACAAAAAGGTCGGCAGTTCGAATTCAACAGGTGCTCCTTGGAAACCCTATGGAGCAGTTCTACCCTGTCCTATAGAGTCGCTATAAGTCGGAATTGACTCAACAGCAATTTTTTTTAACCCTAGCCTGAACCCATATATGTTTCATGTAAACAGTATCTTCCTCCCCCTTTGAAAGATAACAGGACTTTTTTTTCTCTCAGGGAAAGGAATGAGTCTTAGAAAAAGAAGGAATCAAGGAAGAAAATGACCTCACTACCACAATACTATTTTGTAAATTAAGAATACATGCACACAAAACAGCAATACATGCCTTTTAAGTACACATTCAAATAAATGGACAAACATATTTCAGTGGTTGTCTACGATAAGGTAAAGGAGAATGGGCATGGGGATAAAAAGGAATAAATTTAAATAAAGAGAGAAGGGCCTTGCACAGATCAATGAGAATAGTGTTTCATCTGCTGGAAGGCATGATTAACTCAATGTTCTGCATAAGAGGTCCAAAAACGAAAATGAAGAATCAACACAGTGTCATTCAGTTTGGATTTCTGAATTCCATACCTCTGAAATGTATTCAGGGTAGTGTTAGCAAACTAATGATATCAAACCTACCAAGTATCTCCCAGTGGGGTCACTCTTAGGCAAACTGCCAAATGGATGAAACATCTTTTTGTTTCACAGATGAAACTGCATCTATGAAGAACTCATCACAACCTCAAATACTTCTTAAATAACTTTCATTTGTCCCTACACATGTAAATATACACAAATATGCGTGCATACACACACCCCATTTTTGCCACCAGCACCAGAGCTCCTAACTTTCCAATTTCATCAGCCCAAGGACTCATTGCTGAACTTCTGGGTTAATTTCTCAGTAGTGTACTATACTGGCCATAGGAGTTATTAACTTCCATTTATGTGGGTAACAGAATGTCACCAAGCAGCATGGAAACAGTGCTACAAAGTCTGCCTGATTCACAAATTTGGCCAAAGCTTTTCCTATGGCACATGAATGAAGTTATTCATAGAAATATTTGAGGTTGAGATCATTTCTGCTCTCAAGGGAAGTTGGAGTGTGCCCTCTGAAGCGAACAGGGGTCCCATATGCTTGCTCTTGGGTAGGATCTCAGGATTTAAGGATATATCATCATACCTTTTGAAAGGACAATGGTTAAGCACTGGACAACTACCCGAAAGGTTGGCAGTTTGAACCCACCCAGAAGTGCCTCAGGAGACAGTCCTGGTGATCTGCTTCCAAAAGGTCACAGCCTTGAAAATCCTATGGAGCAGTTCTAATCTGCACACATGGGGTCACCATGAGTCAGAATCAACTCAAAGGCAACTATCAACTCGAAGGCAACTATCAACTCGAAGGCAACTAACAACAACAAGATTAGAAAACGGTGTTTTCACTAGAAATACCACCATGAATTATAGCACTTTGCACTTATTAAGCACATTTAAAATTAATCTATACACATCCGGACAACAACTACTTAAAATCACATAAAGCACTTACCTTTAAACTGAAACAATTTAGGAGAGATTAGCACAATACTGTCATTTTATAAAAAGAAAGGGTAAAGTTTAAATACATTCTTGGCACTAGAACCATAAGAAGATGTAAAAGGGTAGTCTCGAAGGGTCAGGCAAGTGTCTAGTGTCGCATTAAAGAAGTGACTGGACTTTGCCTCCCACAAAAGGACCCTGTTTCATTGGTCAGACATCGCACTAGGGCTGCAGTCTTTGGCCTGGGCCAGGGCGACACTTTTTACATTTCTCATGGGATATATCAAGAAATCAAATGTTCCTTGTGAGATTTCAGTTTGCATAAGAATACACTTACATTGCAGACTTTAAGAACTAGAGATTGCTGTTAGAATTTAGGGTGGTAGTTATCCCAAGGGAATGGAAAATGACTGGAAGGGGCTGGAAGGAGAGCTTCTAGGGAGCTGATACTGTGCTTTTCCTTGATCTGGGTGCTGATCATATGGGTGTGCTCAGTTTGTGAAAATACAATGAGCTATGTGTGTATGAGATGTGTACTTTTCTCTATGTATATTATACTTTGATAAATTTTTTAAGTAACAAAAATAAAAAGAACTATAGATTAACACGTAAAACACTGAGCTGCAATTCTGGCTGTATGACATGCAAATAGTTTAATATAGCATAAATCTTTATATGTAAGTCATATTGGGTGGGAAAGCATGTATTTTAAAATCTCAATTTCAAGTTGTTTTAGGACAGAAAAAGCTAACATGCAAGTTTATGTTTTAACTACAGTAGAAATCACTGAAGCAGTAACAGAGAGTGGGCAGGGCATAAAATACAAAAACCTAAGCACTGCTTTCAAAGCCTGGGCCAGGCCCCTAATTAATTTACTTTACAGTCTATCTGTAACATGGGCAAACAGCCTTAGCAACACCTACCTTGGACAGTTTGTATAAAGAGTAAACAGGTTACTGAGACAATAACATAACACATGAGAAAATCATACACATTTGTATATAAATGTAAGAGATTTTGTAAAGGCCCATCCGTGAAAAGATGGGACTGCTACTGTGCATTGAGGGCTGTCAAAAAATAAGAGGCTTGTTGAAATGTTTTGTTACATACATATTTACCACAATAAAAAAAATGGACACACACGCAAAAAAATAATAAAACAACAAAACCCCACAATGAGATACCACTTCACACCCACACAAAAAAACTAAACAAAAAACAACAGGCTTGGAAATGTTTTGCCATAACGTCCCAGATCTTACAACTAGAAAATAGCTCATTTAAAATGTTCACTATTTGTTCTACCTTCTTCCACACAGGCTTTTAATCTCTCCCAGGAGCCAGGGAGCTAGGGCAGAAGGTGGGAACTGCAGCGAACTGGAAGGCAGGGCTTTGAACCTGTTTCTTCTGGCTTGAACTCCTGCTGAGAATACGCATTTCTAACAAGTTCTCTGCTGAGAATCCGAATTTTAACAAGTTCCCAGGTTCTACATAAGAATCACCTGGGGATCTTGTTAAACTGTAGATTCTGATTCAGTACACCTGGGGTGGAAATGCAACTATACAAGTGAAACTCTATGCATGATATTTACTTTTCCCTCTAGTTCTGATTCTATTTCTCTGCAAACCAGACTTCCTGAAGGAGCAGCCTGTGCTCTTTCTCTCCTGGTGATGTGGGTTCTACCCCTGGCCCTCCACTAGTCCTCCACCACTCCTTCCTCCTTGAAAGCCCTTCCTTGGCTTGGGTGGCATCTCTCTTTCCTAACAACTGTTCCTCCCCCCTTCTCTTCACTCTTCCCTTTCTCAACATCTCCCTTACTTACTGATGTTTCCCTGAGTTCTGTCTTCAGTAGTCCTCTCTTTTCACACTATGAGTACTACTTCTCATTCAAATTCACGATTTTAATGACATATATAAGCTGGTGATGCTCAGCAATCTTCTCTGAGCTCCAGACACATTCACGTATCTGCCTACTGAACATCTCCTGGGGACAATCTAAAATCAACAAGTTCCAAACCGCCTGGCAACCAATGTCACAAAACAATATGTGTTGTTTAATGAGAAACTTGTTTGCTTTGTAAACCTTCATCTAAAGTACAATTAAAAAAAATTTCCAAACCGGCTCCCACACCTGCTCCTACTCCTCTAGTCTCAATCTTGGTGAATGGCACTATTTCCACCCAGTTCTCTAGGCCAGAAAAAAGAAAAGCTTGGCCTTTTACCTCCCTTCTAGCTCGATCTCTTTACTAACTCCTCTGACTCTACACCTAATCTCTCTGGATAATAAATGTCCCCATCTCTCCCTCCCTACTGTCCTAGTCCAAGCCCTCTTTCATTCCTTGCCTGGTCTAACAACTGCCTCCTAACAGGCATCCCTGCCTCTGGTCCTGTTACTTCTAATCCACCCTCCGTATTGCTTCCAGAATGGGTTTACAAAAACCCAAGTGTGAACATCTCACTCTGTTTAACATCCTTAATAAAGACATAAGGCCCTTTGCCTCCCTGTCCAGGCCCAAAGTGTACTCTAGGCTGCAGTCACACCAAACCACTCTCATGGCTCCCATCAGCCTGCAAAGACCTCCCCCAACTGCTTCTTTGCCTGGTAAAGTTCCCCTTTCATGACTTAGTTCAAGTTTCACCACTAGCTCCTTAAAAGCCCTTTCCTAACCCTTCTCTGCAGCTAAAGTGCCACTCCTACAGGCACTCTACTGTACTTATAAATTTTCTGGTCAGTCTATATAAATAGCCTAAGAGTTCTTCAAGATTAGGGGCCATATCTTACTCTGCATACCCACGGCAAAAAAACCAAAAAAAAATTTTCTTATTGAAGGAATTAATGGAAGAAAACCATAACTTTGTTTTAAGGTTTTTTTTTTTTTTAAATCTTTGGGCAGTCCTGGATAAGAAAATAGGGGTATCAGGAAACAAAAGGGCATTGTTAAGCAATAGTTAAGGCAGACTGACAGGAACTCCTTTTACCTGGTATTGTTTTAAGAAATCTATACTGTAAGTCCCTGACAGGTAAGAGGGCCACAGAGGTTGACTGTAACCTGCTCTCATCTCTTGAGAACAACCTGATTTGGGGAAGCTTCTTTTTTTGGTGCTCGGCCCATCAATATTTGTTGAATAAATAATAGGTACCAAATATTAAGTTATGTGTCAGGTACTCGAGATAATATCACATTTAATTTTCACAATTGAAAAGAATTTAAGGAAGGCATTATAGTACCTTCCTCCACCTCCATGGTAGCATCTTATTTTCTGAGATATGTATGTATAGCAAGTCTATCTCTACAGCTAAATAACTGAAAATATTTCACTCACCTTAAGTGCTGCTATTCAGCAGCAGTAGATATTTCTGTGGTGGCCCTGTGTAGCTTACCTTAAACACAGTATTTTCCTGCCAGAGTCCTCATTATGAAACTGCAACTCAGTGGATTGCTACATATGCAACTCACACTTCCCTCAGAAATTTATCAGTGATCAACTAGGGTAAGAGCTTGATCAACTAACAGGTGAGGACAATAAAGGAAGGAACCAGTTATTTCAATCTATTTAACCAAGTATTACTTCATAAGGGATGAGGTAGTTTCATTCTTAAGCTTCCTTTTCTTTCTCTCCTAATATATATAAGATTTACAAATATGCAAATCACTTCTGGTTTATGAAAGTCTGGCAAGACCTGGTTCTTTTATTCTCCCCCCATCTCACCACTAATCAATAATAAGCTCCTCTCCATAAACTCCCTGATGGTACTATAAATTAGTAGAACTGCTATTTAGCTTGCAGGTGGAGCAATTTTGGTGACTAGACTCCAGATTTTTAATTGAAGGAAGAGGGATACCAGAAAATCTGGGTCTGGCAAAGTTCTAGTTGGTAATGAACCTGATAACAACTGATTTTACTACAGAATCACTTAGGTCACTCATGCTAATTCTATACTTTTCCAGAATGCGGAAAAAAAATTGAGGCCTGGCAAGGCTAAGAAACTGGCCCGAGTTCAGCTCAAAAGTACAAAGCTGGAAGCAAGGCCCAGGTCTCAAAATTACTAGGCCAGTGCCCTTTTGATCGGCACACTATGCTTACATGAAGAACATTTTGGCTAGGGAAATGTGAAGAAATGGGTAAGAAATGCTGTTTAGAAATGGACATCTGCACCAGTTCAAATACTGAGGTAGGCACATTGCAAAGCACCATTTCCATATTGTTTGCTGATCTCTTCAGTGGAAGACGAATGCTCATACTTTTAAAATCAGTAACTTAAGTTTAAGGGTTTCTCATGTTCCTGGAAGTTTTTCCTTTATGATCTCCAATCCTGTCATCCATCTTATTGAATCATTTTAAGTCTACTTTTTAAATAACCATGTTTGGCACTAGAAATAACAGCACAGCACATACACTATATCATAGTATTAATTCTATTCTACAAACACTTAATGAATACGGCAGAATTTGGTAGAACACTGCAAATGCCAAATCAGTATAATTGGTTAGTTAGCGGAATTTAGATAAGTTACTAGTGATCCTGCAGCTAACGTAAAATTTACAACTGCTCCTGGGAGTTTCTTCATTTTGTATTATTCTAGTATTCCTCCTCATATTCCTTCTCACCCACAGAGAATGAAATGTGCAAAGAATTCAATTGCACAAAATTCACAGGAAGTTCATCATCAATATCCTCCTTGATAAAAGAAACTATAAGAAACCCCTCATGGCCAAGTCCTGGGGAAGGAAAGCAGGTGAAAAGGGAGCTATGAATAAACAATAAACAAACTAGCTGTGTTAAATACACTGAAATTTTTAAAGGAAAGATTAAAATTACTCCAGTGGAAATCTAGCCTCTCCAAAATTCAATGTCTAACATTAGTTTATCATTTCACAAACAATTACTGACTGTACACATTTAATTTTTATTTTACTTGGAACATTCTGACAAGCAACAAACAAGTACAGAAGAGTCAATGAAGAATACATTGAGAGCACATAATAGATACTGGGAATGAAGGTTCTGACAGTACAGTTAAAGCTCGATAAGCTCAGAAATCATAGGAGTTTGGAAATACAGGACAACAGATGACAAGAGACTTTAAAGCTGTCATGTTTTTTTAAGAGTAAAGAATAAGATTTTATAGAAAACTAGCTTAATTTTAAAGTGCAATTTTCCTTGCTTAAAATTTTTTCTTACGCAAATAACAAACATGAGAGAACAAACCAGACTGTCAGAAAGAATTTAAGAGTTAGAAGGGACTTTAGTCATCATCTCATGGAATCCACTCCATTTTACAGATGAGGAAACTGAGGCCCAATGAGGGGCTTTGCCTGACCAATGAATAAAGTTTTACATACTTCCAGATTTACCTTAATATCTCCATCATATTAGATATATTGCCATCTCCCTAGACGTTAACTAAGAGAGAACACATTATTAGTATCTAAATTCTGAACACAGCTGTCACCTGGTAGATTTTTACAAAAAGAACACATAAAAGGTAAAAAGACAGCACTATTTCTTTAAAATGTATCCTCATTTTAGTTTTAGAATACCATTCTATGCAGGAGGTAAACTGTAGTGACAGCCCGAAAAAAACTGTGCTAAGATACCTATAAGAATTTAGAAGTTTTTATAGCCCTTAAGGATCTTTGCCATTTTTAAATGGACCGATATGTATACACAAACAAAATACTCTCACAGTATACTCCTAATTCCTAAATCCGTCTTTGGTGAGAAATATATAATCTTAATTATCTGACAGGACTTTCAACATTTTCTAATTATTCATTTATAATTTTTGGGAAAAAGAATACACCAAGATATCAGCTTAAGAGGAGCCAAAATCTATCAGTGCCTCATGCTGTCTTTTACCACTTAACCCAGCCAGTTATCGGTCATTATTGTACCCCCTGTAAAATAACCACGACATAAAATCAATTAAAGAAAATGTATTGACTGCCTATTATGTGCAAGGCATTCAAATTGTTTGGCTGGGCATAAATAATTAGTCATATTTCACGTTTGTTACTTCAATTCCAAATAATGTGGTAACACATTATTCCAGAATTGTTTGTAACCTGGTGGCCCATTTTCTAAAAGTTGTTTTGACCGCACTTGCATTTCGGACCTCCCTATTTCATGCTCTTTCCCTTTTTCCTCTGTGTTAGTAACACACTTTTTTCGATATGCTCTATCTTTGTCATATTTCATAGATCCTTTAATTTTGCTCATCTTTTTTACCTCTTTGCCTTCACTTTGTCCTTCCTGCCCTTCATTCTCTTCATCGCCTGTGTCCTGGTATTTCCCCTCTTCTTCCTCATTAGTCTCCTCTACTTCCTCCTCCTCCTCTTCTTTCATCCCCTTTTCTTCCCCTTCTCTCTCCCCCTCTTCTCCCTCCTTCCTTTCCTCTTCTGCCTCCTCGCCTTCCTCTTCACCCTCTTCATCTTTCCCTCCTCCTTCCTTCTCTTCCTCTTCCCCCTCCTCTTCATCTCCTTCCCTCTCTTCTTCACCTTTTCCTTCTTCCTCCTCACCTTCTCCTTCCCCCTCTTCTTCCTCTTCTTGTTCTTCCTCCCCTTCTCCCCACTCCCCTTCTCCCCCTACTCCTTGCTCCTCTTCCTCTTCTCTCTCCTCTTCCTCATCTCCTTCTCCCTCTTCTTCCTCTTCTCCCTGCTCTTCTTCCCCTTCCTCCTCCCCTTCTCCTTGCTCTTCTTCCCCTTCCTC